GTCTTGGTGTGAACTTGGCAGCTCAGGTTTGTCTTTATTTCTTAAGAGAAATTAGTGATGAAGGAAGATCTCTAACTGGATATTCATACAAAAAAGGTGTCCTGGGCTGTGAATCCTGCATTTTGAAAAAGTAGCATGGCCTTGTAACCTCATTAAGAGTCATGAAGAACAGAAAGAAAAGGAGTACTTGTGGCACCTTAGAGACTAACCAATTTATTTGAGCATGAGCTTTCGTGAGCTACAGCTCACTTCATCAGATGCATACCATGCATACATCTGATGAAGTGAGCTGTAGCTCACGAAAGCTCATGCTCAAATAAATTGGTTAGTCTCTAAGGTGCCACAAGTACTCCTTTTCTTTTTGCGAATACAGACTAACACGGCTGTTCCTCTGAAACCTGTCATTATGAAGAGCAGAGTTCACAGGACCAGCTCTATAAACAGCCCATAAAGTTTGGTTTTTGCAGGTCTACTGTTGTTTCTCAACCAGGTGTTTAAATCTGAGTTACGACATTGTCTCTAAACTCATGAAGATGAACGCTCGATCTAAACCAGTCCTGCCGAATAGCCAAAGAAGATAGACATGATAGTACAGTGTGATATAAAGGTATTGACAGCTTGTGTTTGGGACAGCAGTGTCACTTGTGCAGCAAAGTCTCAAGTGAGTTCAATAGGCTATCCTGAAGGAGTACTGGCGTGCGCATCTCCCATCACATTTTCTATAGTTGTCATATATTTTAGAAAAGTGTAGGTGAATTTAAAAACATGTATTGGGATGCTTGCTTTTGTATAGCTCTGGCTGTAAAGCCTGGCTCATCGGTGTCGCAAGTCCAATTCTACAAATCTACAAATAAAATTTTTTTATTAGTGATAAAAAAATCACTAATACATTAAAAACAACTATCCAAATTACCTACAATAGGTCTTCTAAACATAAAAAATGTCTCAACTTTAAAGTCTTGGATTTCTACATCTCTGGACCTTCAAGTCCAAAAACAAATGCTACGTGGTGTTATGGGTAGGGCCCTAGCAAATTCACAGTCCATTTTGGTCAATTTCACGGCCATAGGATTTAAAAAATCATAAATTTAATGATTCCAACTATTTAAGTCTGAAATTTCACGGTAATTGTAATTGTCGGGGTCCTGATCCAAAAAGGAGTTGTGGGGGGTGGGGTTGCAAGGTTGTTGTAGGGGGGGTTGCGGTACAGCTACCCTTACTTCTGCGCTGCTGCTGGCGGCGGCCCTGCCTTCAGAGCTGGGCGGCTGGAGAGCGGCGGCTCCTGACTGGGAGCCCAGCTCTGAAGGCAGCAGCGCAGAAGTAAGGACACCATGGTATGGCGTTGCCACCCTTACTTCTATGCTGCTGCTGGCGGGGCGCTGCCTTCAGAGCTGGGCGCCCGGCCAACAGCTGCTGCTCTCCAGCCTCCCAGCTCTGAAGGCAGCACAGAAGTAACCTTGCAACCCCACTTCAACCTCTCGTTTGGGTCAGGACCCCCAGTTTGAGAAACACTGGTCTCCCCTGCGAAATCTATACAGTATAGGGTAGCAGCACACAAAAGACCAGATTTCACAGGGGGAGAGCAGATTTCACGGACCTTGAGGCGTTTTTCATGGCCACGAATTTGGTAGGGCCCTAGTTATGGGTTGAATTAAAACTTGCTGAAAATGGTGGGTGTAGTATCCACCCTTCGTTATAAATAAATGTAAGAAACAATTAAGCCCCTCTATGGAACCACATAGCTAAAATAATAGCAGGGTCCACCCAGAACAGGTGGTCAAACTAGATGATCCAATAGTCTCTTTTGGCCTTAAGGTCTATGACCATGACAAACCGGAGGCACATGTCACCACTCAAACCAAAGGTACATGTGGGTTGCAGGGGTTTTGTTGGCTGTTGTTTGGTGGAGGGGTGTGTGTCTGTCTCTATTGGAGAAGCATGAGAAGAAACAGCTGGGAGAGAAGCAGCAGAATGCAAAGGACATAGCCAGAACAAGCACGGGGCATGTGGCCCTGAGAAAAGCCTAGAAGGAGAGAGAGCTTTTGGGATAGGTGCTGGCTGGAAAGTGGTTTGGAACTGTGTGCAAGAAAACTGTCTCCTGCTGTTTGATTCCTGTTATGTTTAAGGAAACAGGACTTGATACCTTTTTTATGAATAGACAGGATTCAGGGGAGGAGGGAGGGATAGCTCAGTGGTTGAGCATTGACCTGCTAAACCCAGGGTTGTGAGTTCAATCCTTGAGGGGGCCATTTGAGATCTGGGGCAAAAATTGGGAATTGGTCCTGCTTTGAGCAGGGGGTTGGACTAGATACCTCCTGAGGTCTCTTCCACCCCTGATATTCTATGATTGCATCAAAGAGACTTGACTCCAGCATCAATTTCTCTTCCTAACCTTAACAACCCCCTGGACCCTGAATTTTGGCTAGCCTGTGATGTAAAATAGGGGAAGCAATGCCATGTTGGAAAGCTGAAAAAGTTCACGTTTGGGACAGAAAGAAGGAAACATTTTGGTGGCAGATGTATTAAGAAAATAAAGGTATCTCTTTGAGCCTGATTTGTGGTTTAGAATGTTAGGCTAAACCCTGGGTGGGATGGATTAGTGAGCAGAGTGCTCGTGAGGTGGTCAAAGGTGCATGTTCAAATGCAGTTTTTCATGTGGCTGTGTAATTTATCACACTTCTACCCTGTGACCTGAAGAAGAGCTCCGTGAAACTTGAAATTTGTCCCTTCCACCAACAGAAGTTGTTCCAATAAAAGAGATTACTTCACCTCCCTGTCTCTGTCATATGGTATATGTTAAAAGCTCCATGTAAAGAATACACACAAGAAGCAATTTATAGTACACAATTTGTATTGGTCCTACAAAAATCAGAAACCTGTGACATATATTCTTGAACATCCTCTACTGGCACTTTATTAAACTCTTTGCATGTATATGGCCATCTCTCACTTATAGAGCACTACAAGGACTCCTTGTTGTTTTTACTGATACAGACTAACACGGCTACCCCTCTGAATCCTATATCAGAGTATCCCTCTCTCTTTGTGTGAATTATAATATAATTTAACCATAGGTTTTATTTTTTTTTAGCATTTTTGGTTAAGGGCATGATTTAAACTGAAAATTGAAGGAAATTCTGAGGTTACATACCTTAAACCACTCTATGCCTAGGGACTGCAGAAAGCAGAATAGTGACACCACCTTACAAATCAGACTTTGTTACCCTATAATATCTTCAGACAACTCTGTAAGACATAATTATTTAGAATTTTTATTTATTATGGACAGGACCCCATTGTGCTAGGCTCTGTACAAACACAGAACAAAAAGATGGTCCTGGTCCGAAAGAGTTTATAATCTAAGTAACTCTCAACTGTTAACTCTTCTAATTTGCTTATGTTCTGGATTTCAATGGGGAAGCCTTTACACTGCCAGAGTGGTAAAAGGAGCTTAAGTTAAATGAGAATCAAGCATATGCATGTATAATCACACAGGCCTCTACATCTTGATACATAACATATTTTAAAGAGGAAAATGCCCTTGATATCTTGCAGAACAGGAGAATACAATTATTGAAAAAGAAATTGATGCACAAATACTTCTTGTACTGTGGAGAGAAGGAACTAGATATCTCTCTGTTTTGACCTCAGGCAGTGTCTTCTCCATCCCATATCCCTGCTATCTGAATGCAAAGTCTTGCATAAAGCAATGAAAATATGCTGATTTGGAATTACATACTACAAGAACTTTACAGCTGCGTCAAATTATCTTGGCATATATATTTTTTGGGGTATATATGAAAATAATGTCTTTTATCATTTAATGCAATCATATGTTTTCTGAGGGAATTGAATTAGATAAATATGTACACAAAGAATTACTATATCAAGATACAGAGGTGTGTCTAAAGAGATTTTCAGACCTACCCACTCTTTTCCAATAGTCTGTGTCTGTTCCTTTAAGTTTTGTGTGAAGAATGTTGTCTCCAATGTCAAAATGTCTATCTGAAGAAAGGTATTTAGTAAGCAGGTGAAAACATGCTAGGTTGTTTTTTTTATAAAGCTGAAGTGTCAGTGTGTAAGGATTGCTGAGGTTTACAATCAATATGGGTGTTATCAAATAATACAATCGTGGGATGGGGGAACATTTTTCAACATTTCACATTTGACTGTATTTACATAGGAAATAACTGTGTGTGTGCGCCAAAAGATATTATCCTGAGGACTTAAAGAGCTTGCAGACTAGGTCAGAATCAAAGGCAGACATTCGGATTAATTGTCAAAATGTAACATAAAACTCCCTGATTCAGGTGTGTGTGAGGGAATTTGAAAAAGCCCATATATTTTTAAGGCATATTGAAATTTATCAATGTCACTTTTCAAATCACAAGAACTCTTCCTTTTTTTCCCGTTTGACTGTAAAGGAAGTGGATTTTGACGATACTTAACTGACCCATGTGTCACTCAGGTAACTCAGGAGGTGCTGATGCAGATGGTAGGAGAATATTATAACAGCATCTCCTTCCAGTGAGAGTTTTGAACTCATACTACTGTGTGTGTGAGTGTGTGTTACTGCCCTATAACAGATGAAATGTCAGATGTGCTTAAGACTGTGTGAGAGAAAAAGAGAGATACTAAACCGATAGACTCTTGAAGCATTCCTAATATGGATAATGTCGTCCCCTATAGACTGCAGCCCACAAATGGTATGAACTGTATGTATGTATGAATGTAGTATCCTACTACAGATAATACAGATACACATTTTAACAACATTGCTGGTGATTAATGTTTGGAACATCTTACCAAGGGATGTGGTGGATTCTCCATTACTTGAATTCTTTCTAGATATGTGCTACTTCAATCACATGTTATTGGGCTTCGTGCAGGAATCACTGGGTGAAATTTTATGGCCTGTGAAAGAAGTTAGACGAGATGATCACAATGGTCCTTTAAAATCTATACATTTTCTTTTCAGCTCAAAAGATGGGGGCCTGTGTTTTTGGAACCTGACAACCCTGACGTTTTGTCCAGCCTTGTCATCTGCTATCCTGTCTATCAAAACAATCAGATTGCTGTTTCCATATGGAGCTCAAACATATGGTACGTTAATGTCATCCTGCACCACAAAGGTCAGAGTAGACACTACATGGTAGGTTCCCCCAGAAATCCCACTGTTATGCAACACACCAGGACAAAAATGCTGTTTTGTCTAGGAGAGGATGCATAAAGCTGGGCCCAGAGCCCATAAATTCCAAGCTTACTTCTTCAGGCCAGTCTCGATGATCATAAAATGGTCCCTTCTGAGCTTAAAATTTGTGACTCTAGGAATAATGTAGTGGTTGCAAGTGAAGGAGAAAGAGAAAGAGTTATCAACATCCAAACACCCTCCACCCTCTCAGAGCCACAATAATGGAGCAATCCTCCTCCTGTTTCTTGCAGTCCCAGATGACAGTATGTAAGGATGTTTTTTTTAAACTCCATCGCTCCAGAGTGCCTGGGTATTTTGGATTGCCTTGGGAATGTATGCATACATTCTAGGTTGCCTTAGGAGAATGTGTGCATGCACGCAGGATTGCTTTGGGGAGTGTGTTGTGTGTGTATAGAGGGTGGGGGATTTTCGATCACCTTGGGAGGAACTGGAAGTTCTGGGTTACCTTGGAGGTCTTTTGATCTCCTTGGAGCATCCAGTATGTTCAGGGGTAGGGGCATTACAGAGCACTTGCCTTTAGAGCCCTCATATACCTGAAGGTATTTCTCCCCCCATTCAGAGGGACTCAGGGCCCAGTTCAGAGCAGTGTAATTTGCACATCAATAAACAACCATAAATTGGTGCAAGAGGGTGTAAGCAGTTACAGTTTATGTGATGAAGGGGCACACAGACAGGGCTGTAGCAGGAAAAGTGTCCAACCGGAGGGTAAAAGGAGGTATAGGATAAAGCACATGGTGGGACCTGGGGATACTCTAGCTATGTCTTTTTCCTGCTTTGTGTGATTTCCAGCTGAGCTACCAGGGAGGGTTGTGGAACTGTAGCCATTATTTCTATAATATGCTCTATAAATATCCTAAGATGTGGCCTGATTTTTAGAGATGCTGAATGCTTGCAGCTTCCATTAGCTTCAGTGGGAGCTTTGGATGCAATGCACTCTGGAAAATCTGGCCGATAGTATAGTATTTCGACCTTTGTGAGATCACTCGTGGCAGGGCTAGGACAAGTACCGACAAATAAAACAAAGGTATATTTAGTCTTTGTCACCTTTGCTCATGCTGAGTAGCCCCATAATCTGCAAGTGGCTGGGTTGGTATCAGGTGGCCGGTGTGCAGAGGAAGGTGCTATGCAATGTGAGTGAGGAGTAGGAGCCAACCCCTCGTCCTTTAGTAAGTGATGTAACATTCAGTTTATGAAATATGGGCCTGATCCTGTGGTCCTACCACCAGCAACCTTCCCCTCCCCTTGTCTATGGGGATGGGTTTTAGGGGCCCCCTAAGTTCTTGCATATTAAAAAAAAAATGTACTAGGCCACATTGTGCAAACACTTATGATGGGATGAAACATTGATTGCCCTGGGGAGTCCCACAGAAGGCACATAGCTTAGATCCTCCTGGTATTTAGGCGCTTAATTCCCATTGATTTCAGTGCCTTTGAGGATCTGAGCCATACCACTTACTACCCACCGGTGCTAAATGTTTGCAGAATCAAGCTGATAAATCAGACCTGTCTTCATGCCTTTCCTTTGCTGCCTCAGTCTTTACCACTGCCATCCTGACCTCTCTAGTCTCCTTTCCCATTTCCTTCCTCGGCTGCTGGCCCTGGATGGAGTAGTTATGAATCAAAGGAACCCTTAAAACTACTTTATATTTTTCCAAAGCTGGATTTTTTGGTCTCAAGTAACTCACTGGGAGTCAGCAGGCCCGGTGTTCCTCCCACAGTGCTGTTATCTGAGTCTAGGTCTGTTGATGTTAGTGGAGTTAATTCACGTGGTGTCACTGAGAGCACACTCTGGCCCACAGTGGTGAAATAATTTGATACAAGTGAGTGTGCGGTATTGTGAGGGAGGCTCGGCATGCTGCCCCAGCTGAGGTACATGGGGCAGGCTGGGCCAAAGGGGCATGGGGGAAGACGGGCACACTGCTCCAGGGAAGGTGCATGGGGGAGAATTGGCTGAAGGGACACGGTGGAGGCTGGGCATGCTGCTCCAATGATGGTACCTGGAAGAAGTCAGCTCTGCAATTCCAGCACATTCCTATTTCCTGCTGACTAGATGCTTTTGCATGGGCAAAGGTGGGGGTGGGAGGGAGACTCAGCAGTAAAAAAAGAAAAAAACCCTCTCTCTTCCCAGTGCTCCTTTCTCTTGTATTTATTTATTTATTTATTTACGTTGTGCCTCCTGACAGCGATGATGGAACTGTCATGCTTTAGTGGCCTCAGTCTCATGATCAGGCACCTGTTCTCTACAGTTTAATCTCTTCACTCCTTTTATATAGAGATTCTATATATAACCCCCAGACAAACAAAATGTGAAGAAAAATCAAATCTAATTACATGCCATTGATTTCTTTCCAAATTTGCTTCTAATACACTTTTTGACTCCTTGATGTTTTTTTTCCCCTTCTCCTTTCCTTTCCCCACTTTCATTCATTCAGCTGCAGCCTCCTCTCGTGAAAATGAGTTTCTATATTGCCTTGCATTGGACTTGCAGGACCACGGAGCGTTTAGGGAATATGCAGACCGACAGGTTTTTGCTTTTAATAGGAAATAGGGATTCTCAGTGTGTTGAGGATTTTCATAAGGCAAAGGTAGGACCTTGCAGCTTTCTGAAAATTATTTCTACTTTTTAAACCTGACCTCTGTTTATGGGGTGTGCGGGGAACAGGAGCTGCTGACCATCAGCAGCTGCACTTAGCCCTGTTTATTTAACAGAATAACTTACCGTGTACTTGGTGACATTAGTGTTTTTAGCAATTGAGACCAGCTGTTGGTTATCCTGGGGCTCATGTGTTGCAGTTTTGGGGGGGCTGTGCATGAGGGAAGATGACATCTGAATAAATTCTACTGTGTCAGCCTTTGCAAATTATCAGTCTACTCAGTGTCTATGCTACTATTTTTGCTATCTTGGATCTTGTGTTTGCCCAGCTTGTCTTTGTGCTTAGCTATGTATTTATTTATTTATTTATTTGATCCCCAAGCAATTGAATGTGTTGCTCCAATAAAAGCATTGAAAGCAGCAAGAGATACCTCTGCATTTGATAGCTGGCGAGTTTGCATGCTTGTGAGGCAGCTACTGAGGGTCTGTGAAATTCACTCATCTGATCAGTCTTTCAAACTAGAACTCTCGCTGCTTGTTATATGTTAACGCAAATACATTTCGAGGAGGGGGGATGAATATGGAAGGACAATCGAGTACGTTTTCAATCTCTCAAGTCATTTATCAGGAGTTTCACAACCTGGCTAGCATATGTTTTAAATGTTCAGTAACTGCTGTAATGAAAAGAGAGAGGAGAAGGAGGTAAATATTTGAATAGCTTAAGATACAATATATTTTTCCCTGCCTTTCAGTTGCAATCGATCAAAAATAGTATTTGGGATGTCGATACAGTCTGTGTCAGGGTGTTTATTATTTGATTTTGAACACACCAGGGGATATTGATTTTGGCAGGGGGGTGGGTGGTCTTGTGGCTACAGACCATGACTGGGAGTCAGGCGGGGGTCCATGATCTATTCCCAACTCTGCTAGGACTTCCTCTCTGTGCCACTGTTCCCCATACCTGAATTAAATGGGCTAATAATATCGATGTATCTACTGGCATGTGTGTCATAAGGCTTATTTCATTACTGGATGTAGCGTGGTTTGAGATCCTCAAATGGAAGTTGCTATGAAAGGGGAAGGGTATTGTTGTTTGTTTTATTTTGAGTCTACGATGATACTGGCTCTTCTTCAGGTCAGTTGCACCCACTCCTTGTCATATCAATTCTGGGTTCTGGAAGCTCTCACATGGGTGCTATTTCATCTCCTTGCTCAGTCAGCGAACACTGGTTTCCACCCGTGCTTTGCTCTCCAGCTGGGTTTGCTCTTTGTGAGATGGACTCCTCTGCCCTTTGTGGTTGTCTGTGTGGAGAGGATGTATGTATATTCCAGGAGAGAGGCTTCACATTGTGATGTTTTGAATTCTGAGGTAATGACTGGGAATTGCTCATGATTAGTCATTCTGGAGATCAAGCTCCCTGCAGATTAAAAAAACCACACTGAACCATGACTGACTTGCAAATGCCTTTTTTCTCTCCATTTCTCATTGAATTTCAGGTCACTAGCCTTATGAGCTTCCACAGTATATAAGTAGACTTGTCTAATAAACTAGATTAGTAAACAGGCATAATATGCAGCTAGGCGAAGGCAATTCAGATGGTTGATGTAGCTAAACTTCCCAAAGCCTGATGTTATGCGTGACAATGAAAACTTCGTCAGATGGATCATGAGGCAGCGCATCCCCTATACCCACCCACCCACCACCCTATATAACGCAAAGGGCACCATTGGTTCTGGTGGTGGCGGCGGCAGGAATATGAGTGGTTTGTGTGATACATAGGTTGCACATTCCTATTTAAAAAGGAACAAAAAAAAAAGTCCGGTTTAAAGAATTTCCCTGCATAGCCATCCACTGCTGCATGTTTTTTAAGGCCTGGATGTTGTATTTAATCAATCCCTTGCTATTGTCTGCCAGCTGATGTGTAAGGAAAGGGAGCACAGGACCCATTTAGAAGAAATAAATTACATTGCTCCTCCTGCACAATGCAAGATCTGTTTATTGTGGGAACTGTAAAGAGTAATGATTGTGCAAGCCCAGAAACACTGTGCTCGTGTGTGCATCAAAGCTCAGTAATCCCCTCCTAACAATCTAATACTCAGGTGCTCAGAGAGTCCCAGTAAGTGGTGGTTGATTATACGTGGGTCCCAGCAGCTGCATTTATTTGTACTGAACAGTGGGACTCATGGGGTACGTCTGAGTGATGATATGGTGGACCTATTAACTTTGTTCAGCAGCTGAACAGTTGGACACAGAAGTTCAGGTCACTGGGCAGCAGCTTTAGCCATAGCTTTCTCTTG